AGACAAGACTTGGAAGGGGTGGGAACGGACCATCTCGACGCAACTCACCCATACCACCCGCACCCCGAAAACAGGGCGAACGATGACCGATTCCCACATCTTTCCCAAGTGTCCCACCGCCCAATCATGTTTGCAGCCCATCGCGGAACCAGACAGCGAAGCGTGTGAAGCGCGCGAAAGCCAGCCCCCCCTTTCGAGAACATGGCACCAGCGCCATTGAACCACCACCACTACCACCACCACTAGAACCTCCGATCCCCCTTCGACAGCCCTGCCTTTTCTTAGACGTTGCTTACTGTCTAGGATTCTAGGTAGCCACGAAAAGAAAAGAAGAAAAGTTGAAGTGTCTGATCTTCATTTTCCTCCTCCGCCCCCAGTGCTGGAATGTGCGTCCTCCCATGGGCAATGCAGTTGCCGTAGAATGTTGCATTTTGCGCAGTCGCTGTTGCAGTTAGCCCCCCATCCTGTCTAGCTCACATCACACACTCTGCATTTCTCCTTCGGTCACATACACATATGTCTTCCTGCAGATATGCGAGACCGTAGGCACTCACAACAAAGTAATAAGCCTTAGCAAACCAAACCAAACCAAACAAATCTCATCATCCCTCGAGAAAAAAGGAAAAGAGAGGGTGTTGAAGAAAAGACGTTAGTGGTAGAAGTGAATACCTATTCTCCCAGGGGTGCCGCCCGCTTGACGTCTGTCTCGCAATTTCGCAGTAAAGCCGAACAAGACACCTTGTTGCTTCTCGATGCACCATGGCGCTTCCTTGGGGGTTCGCATTTCCTACGCAGGAGGTATGCTGTTGCCCCCCCCCCCCCCCCCCCCTCGCGTTGGGCGGGTGGTTTTAAACCCACAAATACAGGGGAGACCGTAGATTACTGAAGTAGGGAATAACCATCCCTCAAAGTTGTCAGAGACTCGGGGATGGGGGTTATCCCTTTTCCTCGTAAAACCTGAATGGAAATATTCGAGACGTTCTGGAAGAACCGTAATCGAACTGAAGAAGAAAAAAATACCATCCTTTTTGGGACCAGACATTGCGCAAGTAAAAAAAGGTTTAGAGAGAACCACTGACTACCTCATCCCGCCGCTTCCGACACCACCATCTTCATCACCTTAGCTAAGCACCAAGTTTGGCTCAAACTGACCGCACTCAACCATAGTTGTCTTCGGATGGAGTAGAAGAACGTCAAGAGAAGTGCTAGACAGTCACGAATGTGGGAAAGGTTTGCCTTGTTCTTTGTTTTTGGGTGTCTGAATGTTTGTATTCATTGGTAGGAGACCAGTTTATCCTGGTCGGTCCCTAGCCCATACTCGTTTTCTGGGTTCTTGTACCAGTTCGAGTCTCCGTTCAGCAAATATGCGCCGGCGGTTGGGTTCTTGGCCCAGGTATTGTCTAAACCATCTTGTCCTCAGCTTTGAGTGAACTGAATCTCTCTTTCCTGTAGTTCCTGTAGTGGCCCAAACCCATCCCAAAAAAAAAAAAGTGAAGTAAAGAATCTGATATCATCCAGGCGATTGCCAAGCAAACTGCCCAGAGAAAGCTCGTTTCCGGTTGCGCATCGATGCGTCAGAATGGAACGTTCCACCTCCAAAATATCATAACAAAAGTCCTGCCACGTTGTCTGTGTCCCCTCTCTGCGCCTGGTATGCTTTCCATAATTTTCGATAACTTGAGACACCGTCACTCTTTGCTTTCCGTTTCCCAACTCCGCGCTGTAAACATAGAAAAGAAATGACAGAATTGAAACAAAACCCCGCTCCCACAGATTTACAAGCGCCTTTTTGTAGACAAAATTCCGGTCCTTTTTTTCGCTAGACTTTTGGATGTTGCATTCCCGGGTGTTAATCCAAAAGGTTATGTGGCCCACGTAACTCATAACGAATTAGGCATCCTCATGAATGGCTTTATTCATGGGATGAATGTTGATTAGTTGGTTTGGTTGGTGTCGCCATGTCCTCCGGGACATATGGGGCTGGTCGATGGTCCCCGGTCAAGAATTGGCGTAACGGATATTTGTTCCTAGTAGCAGCCTTGGGGGTGCGAAAAGATAGGAACTTGGTGGTGGAAGGGAACGTGAGGGTGGATAGCAGGAGCCTGCTGAGCATACTTCAACACATCTCCCCACCAGAACTGGACAAAAGACTTGGATGGGCAGCTGGGCGCTTGCATTTGGGCCTGGACGGGAGCCGGCGTTGGCACAAGCGTCTGGACACGGAAGGACTCCGGTCCAGCGAACTGCGATGGTACTGGGCCAGTGTATTGTTGCGGAGTGAAGTCCTGTGTGGGGAAGAATGTTGCTCTGGTATCCTCTGGGTCGTATGTTTGGGCATGGCATGCCATAGTCTCCTGCTGCTCCTGAAGGAAGTCCTCATCAAGGTCATCGATGGTCGAGCCGCTTGACGTGAGCGAACCCTCGTCAGACGAACAGGTAGATCCCTCGTCTGAGGAGGACGAGGCGGGTGAAAGGGCGTTGTCGTAATCGTCGACAATCGTATCCTCGCAAGTAACGTATTCGGTGATGTGCTCGTGCGGAACCTGGGTAGTCGAAAGCACAGCTGTCGGCGTCGCCGGAATGGTAAACCTGGAGCAAGCCTGGATTCTTGCCTTCAACTCGGGCAATGTGATCCTTTGATCCGGGTTACGGTTGAAGATCCTCCCCAAGATATCGTTCAGTTCATCCGACACGGGGAGAATGCTCTTCAGAGTTTCCGGGCATCGGGTGTAAGCCCTGTAAGTAGAATCCTCAAAGGAAGCTTGCTTCCATGGGTTGCGTCCGCAGGTCAGGTTGACCAAGATGACTCCGAGGCTCCAGACATCATTGGGTGCGCAGAAGTAGAAAGGTCTCCGGGCAGAGTGGTCCAAGCATTCTAAAAAAGAGAGAAAAGCGAAACGTTAGTGGTGATCAGGGGATTTGATAGAAGTAGAAAAGTTCCTGAGAGTGGATGGCCTACCTGGACTCATGTAGAATGTTGAGCCGCATCCGTAGTCCTCTGACCGGTCGGATGAGGTTGCGAGGCCAAAGTCGGCAAGCTTGACTGTCGATCCTTGGTCCGACACGAGGATGTTTTCCGGCTTCAAGTCTCTGTGGTAGATTCCGAGGGAATGGCAGTGCTCCACGGCATCCAATACTTGCAGGAAGACTCTCTTGGCAAGATCATCGTTCCCGACATACTGACCGCACTCGGTGATGTTGAAGAACAAATCACCTTCCGGACAATATTCCAAGATTACATAGATGCAGTCCGGGTCATCGACAATCTTGAGCATCGACACCACGTTGGGGTGGGCCGACGCCAGATAGTGCAGACGAATCTCCCGGTTCTGGAAGGCAACTTGGCGACGATCCAATGGGGTTCCATCTTGGTTGAATTTGCTGAGGCACTTAACGGCGTAACGGACTCCAGTCTTGACATCCACTGCGGAATATACGACGCCATATGCGCCAGTCCCGAGGATGGTAGTCAATTGCAACTTGCCCTCGAGAAACCTTCCCAGTCTCGCCTCCGGTGTTAACGGGACGTATCGTGCCTGGCAGTGAGGTGCTGTCGTGATGGGTTGTTGGATCGAACACTTTGTGTTGTCGTACACCGGCGACGCGGGAGGGGTGGGATAGCCAAATTCTGATACATGCTGCATGTTATGTGATTTTTGCGGGTCCAAATGGGAATCCTTTCTCTGGCGGTCTGTAATGGATCTCGAGGGCGAGATCCAAGTGGAAGTGAATAAGAAGAAAAAGTAGAAACGGCCTTGTCCTTTGGTTTGGTATGTCCTGGGAATCCAAAGAAATAATCCTGGGTTATTATCCTACGGGCCTGATGGAGTAGTAGTCCTATGAGAGGTTCCGAGGAAGTAGAAAAGGTCGAAAAGTGCAAGACGTCGAGTCAACGAGTCAAACACGTGGTTGTCGCCTGAGGCGGGATGAGTGGTGAGGTGAGTTCGGCGAAGGTCGATATCTGTTGAGGTGGAGGTGGAAGGGCGACTGAGGTTCCAGTTTCCCGAAGATCGTGGAAAGATGAATAGAGGTCGACGGGAAGGAGCGTGGTGGGAGAGTTAATGATTGAAGTCTCGTCGGGCCAGCTGTACGTTGGTGGGATATGGGTGGTTGATAATGACTGCCACCACCCCGATGAGGAACGAGGCGAAATGATGTTAGCGCTACGGCTACGTACCCATGTCAAAGTGCGTTGCGTGGAGCATCCACCATGGCCGGTGGCTCCAAGGACACCCCAGTCGTCTTCGACATTAGCAGAGCAGGGATGAGCGGCTTGCCATGTCTTAGCCATGGATCCACCAATGCACCGTCTATTCTTGAGTTCGACATGAGCAGCGGGCCAGTGGGTTAGAGTTGATAGTAGAGCCTGAGGCCTGAGAGCCTGGCTTGGAGCTAGAGGGCCATGGGGGCGTGGAACCAAAGGGGCGTGGTCGTGCCGAGGTGTGGACGAGTGACCGGCAGAGTTTCTCTACTGGAGCAGCCACCAGGATGCCACTAGCACTCGTGATTGGCGTCTCTGCGCAATTTACGAGCAGGTATTGTCTGATGCACCAGGTAAAGTGGCCCCGTCCCAAGGGGGTGTGAAGTGTGAGTGGGTGTGAGTTGTGTCACTCCTCACTTCTCTTGTGTTGATTCTTATCCACCACCCCAGCCGTGCTCCATATACCCCTGCCACCGCTACTGGCTGAGTGTGTCAGACGAAACGGATGGTCGATGGGTGTCGAAGAAACGGGGCGTGCGTGAGTCGTCGCCCCCCAAGCACTCATGGGACGACCCTGGCTGAGGGAACACAGACTGTCTGCTGCTCTACCCTTCCCTTCCCTTCCCTTCACTTCCCTTCTCAGCTTCTCGCTGTCAATCGGGAGGTCCAGTGCCTTGCTGGTGACTGCTCTGTGCTCTTCCTGCTCTGCCCGCCCTCCCTGGTGAGTGACATTGAGTGAGAGCTGTCGTCATAGGCTTCCTGTGACTTGTGATGTGCACCTCTTTCCTTTCTTCTCTCTTCAACCTGCCCTTGTCTCGCCTGTCGCAGGGCGAACGTGCCCGTTGTGCAGGACCATTGAGGAAAGCCTCACGCTTGAACAGAATCCCCCTTGGAGGAACGTCGGAACCAGGCATGGAATCGCAATCGAACGATGATCGAATGAGACACGTCTTCCTTCACCGCGACTTGGGAGCTTTTGGCCTGGTCTAGCGACGTGGTATGCTATGGCTTGTTGCAGAGCCCCGTACTTTGAACCAGAGCTGTCATCAATGCCGCGTGGTTCATGGTCGAGAAAGACGCTGCTGACACCAGGTAGAGCTGGTAGCAGGGCAATCTGTGACTACCGCCAAACACCGACTGTGAGCGGACGACGTGGGATGCTCAGACACAATAATGCCACACACAACCTAATTGGCTCACTGTCATGGTCTCGTAGCTGACGTTGGAGCCTCTGTGGCGCTTGGCAAGCTGTTTGCATGAAGTCCGGGAGTTGATGAGTGTGGGCTTCGGTGGCCGGTCAGCCTTTCTGTTGCAGATGCTGCCTCGCAGTATGGTGACTGGATCAATGCTGAACAGATTTGGCTTGGGCTCACAGGATGCCCGTCGCTTCCCATTCAGCCCTCTCGGGAGCATTGATTGGCTTCCGTATTTTTTGCAAGCGGTCATCCTCCACCTTGTGGCCACCATATGGCTGCACCAAACTGCACCACACACACACTCTCTCTGAGCAAGCAATAATTGCGTAGTGTAGATCGCCCGTAGCGCCATGATTGGCCGACAAGGCCACATACGACCAATCGCCTGTGGAGACGCGCTTTAGGATGCTTGCGTCAATATCATTACTGCTAGTAGCAAGAGCCAATGAATAGCGGTCTGCGCAAGCGACTATCATAGTAGTTGGTGCCGAGCTAAGCATTCTATGTGGTCGAGGCAATACGAACGGCTGGGTAAACTGCATGATGATCTTGCCAAACAATGAAGACGGGGGTTTTTCACATTTGCGGGTGCAATGTTGTGTGCTGGCTGGCTATGTCTGCTCCAGTGCTCAGTGCTGGCTGCTGGCAGTCCGCGACTTGTCTGATGACGGGAGGTGATGGATCACTGCGATGATATTTTTCTTTTCGGACTGGTCGTGGGCCGTCATGGCCGGTCAATCCGAACCTGTCTCATCAGACCAGAGTGTGCAGGCAGAGCAGCCAGGACACTCGACACCAAATGTATAAGAGCGGGTTCAACGCCGTGGGTCGAATTTAGCGCTGTACCCCGTAGGTGTTGCTCAGATTCCGTACGACTGCCTAGACGTGGGAGGACACGGTAGCCTCTTTGCAAATGATGAGCTGCGGACTGCGGTGCCTCGAAATTCGCGGCCGAATCTTGCCATGTCGGCCTTGGTTCGAGTCCCCGTGGTCAGCTTGACCGGAGACGAAGCAGCGGCAACTCCAGCATCTACGGAACAACAAGCGGAAGAACAGGCCTGGACTCGGTGCGTGTGGAGTCTCAGGGCGAGCGATGGAGGATTCGGTTTGCCTCTGGAATGGGCTTCTGATCCAGGCCAGTGACGGCGGCCAACGTGGTCATGGGTCGCACATGGGCCTGAGATTGCGAACGACCGTTGAGTGGACGGGCCAGGGTTGAGTTCCATGAAAAGAAAATGGATAAGGAACCTGAGCGTGCCGAGCGCTGAATGGTGGACGGAGCAGAATGGTGTTGTTGTGAAGTTGTGCGTATTTTCTGTCATTTTCTCTGCCGTACACTCGAGCCAGGAGACGCCAGGCTCGGTGGACGCCGCAACGCTGCGTTGGTTGGTGTGTGGTGCATACGTCTCTGCAGTCTGCAGCAAGATGCTGCACGTCTGTGTGGCTCGGAGCGGAAAACGGGCAGAACAGGGAGGGTCTGATTCGTTGTCAGGGACTCAGGGCTGAAGCAGTTATGCCTGAGGCCAGGATTGTGTGTCATTCTGGTACTCCGTTCAGCGAAGCTGGCTGTCTTGAACTTCGACATGGGTGGCCATGAGGAGAAAAAAGTGTGTGGTCTGTGTGGTGCGCAGAGGCAGCTCTTGGAGTCTTGTCACCAGTGCCGTTCTAGCGTAGTCCATGGGCCATATGTGCGTGCCACTGGCCAGTCCGGGCCGTTCGAGAATGGGAGCAATGCAGAGGCTGCAGGCGAGCGAGAGCAGCCTCGTAACGACTTGATGGGGCTGCTGCACAGGGATCCCCGGGCGCAAGCTCCCGACGAGTGAGGCTGTCGACGACGGAGCTATGATGGATCATGATGTGAAGGGCCCCATATAATGGTCTGCAGAGGCTGATCTCGCCAGCCCAATAGGCAATTTCGGGCATCCTGTTGTAGCATAGCGCCCGTGGTTCACGATGCAGTGTAGCATCGTGTGAATGGACTTGTGAAGTCCCAACTTCAGTGTGGCGACCGGCAAGTTTGCAAGCGCAGCTGAGCAGAGCCAGGCTCTGGGTTTCGGTCCAGGCACGTCTGAGTCCCGATTCCACGGGCGTCTGTCTCTTTGAAAGGTATCCGTACGGTGTATTCTTACCGCCTGGCGGTAGATAGACGGTGGGACGGGGTTTCGCTCAGGAGATTAGTGAAGCAGACTCATCGATCATGATCCGCATCTTCATGGTGGTGTGGCGCGCTATGATGCCACTGTTGAGATTGAGGCTAGTTGATCGGCGGCAAGTTTGATGTGACAATGTCAGACTGGACTTTGATGGGGTTTTCTGACGTTTGGTAACCGTGAAAGTGGTGATGTGCAGCCAGTGCCTAGCATCGTTAAAATGGTTCTCCGGATGTTCACGGTGGTTTGCCTGTCTGTGCGGATATAGACTGCTGCTTCGGTGACTAGCAGTAAGCAATCGCGAGTCTGTCGGTGCTGTATTCCGCAGACATGATAGGAGTCAGCATCAAACCGGGCAGGGCTTCTCGGTTCGTCTGGGTTGACCGTGGATAACGGGTTGGCATGTTTGGTATGTTTGGCCTGCACGGTTGAAGATGCGTTGCCGCTGCGCCGTCAGGAGACCGAGATATCCGAACACAGCAAGCGCAAGAATAACAGAATGTCTCCAAGCGCGCCTACAACGTCCAAACGCAAGACACTGTCTGTGATGGATAGGACTGCAGCATATCAAGAAGCAAGACGATGTGCAATACTTCGTACTGCAAGGGGTGAGGACGAAGACGATGACGATGGATGGGGAGTAAGAGCAGATGCTGGTCCTTCCTTCATTCTTTTTTGTCGTTGGACTTGAAGTTCCTTCCTTCCTTCCTTCCTTCCTTCCTTCACGCCCCGCCCTGTCACTTCCATAACCAATAACGTGCTGGCTCAACCTACCTCAATAGCCGTCATGACCAATCAGATAACAAGGCGCCACATCCAGTCTGAGGCCACACGTGCAGGAAGGAACGGGAAGGAGCACTGGTAGAGAGGAAGGAAGAGGGAGTGAAAGAAGGCGCAAGCGACTGCAAGTGGGTCACACTGTGTGGCTGGTGGCTGGTGGCTGCCTCCTCAACCACCGCAAGGAGCACGTAGCTGTGTCCCGCCGCCTCACTTTCCCCTTTCCCTGAGCGTGCCTGCCACTCGTGCCACTCTTGCCACCAGATGCTTCCTTGGAGTTCAACCTCAACCTGTGGCTGCCTGAGTATTTCCTCTTATGCCTCAGGCAACACATCTGAGAAAAGAAACAAGCGGTCTGCACGCACACTGCAGGAACTGCATCGATCACGGATGACGCTTACCGGAGCCGGGCTAGCGCATCTGTCAGATCTCATCGTCCAACTCGTTCCCTCCACAACTCTTGGTCCGCCTGTCCTTCAAGGCTCGCAGCTCGGTCCTTGGTCCTTGTCGCGGGTCCCTGTCCGCACTCGTGCTGAATCTCAATTTCACCCTGGGAATATCATCCCGACTCTTCAAATCTCTGTGACGCTACGCTTCGGATACTCCACGCTCTTTCGCTCTCTGCATTACCTTCACGTATTACCGACCGGGTGACGCTCCTATACTAGGTGACTAGTAAACTACCACGTTAATACGCCGTGCTAAGAGCAGCGGTTCGCTTCTGCGACATTCCCAAACCTTGTTTGTCTCTCGCCCTTCCCATTCCCAGTCAGGGTCAACTTGCCCAACCCGGTTCCAGGCGCCAAGTGTGTCCGCTACTGCAAACGAGAAACAGTCGGACCAAGCATCGTGGCCAACATCATCAGATGGGCAATAGACCCGGAGCCAGCAACAAGAACAACAACGATGTCTCCGAGCAAAGGGCACCAACCATGCAGGCTGAGGCAATAGCGTAGGAGGGAGAGACGATTACTGATGCTCAAACAACCATGGCTGTCGCCCAAGGCGGGAACCGGGACAAACGCCCATGAAAGACAGAGCTGTATACGGAAGCTTCAAGAACAAACGCGAATAACAGAGCTATACTCTCTCTCCACGACAGATATTCCATCAGATCAGCCGCCTTCATATACCAGACACTACAAGACAAGTATCGGCTGCGTTTCCTTTGCCAGCACACTCTTTAGAGGCTTGGAGCAATAACATCTCGAGTTAATTCCCAACCATCCGAATTCCATCCCACAAGTCACAATGCGAATGGCTTGAGCACGCACGTCCAGCCGCTCGAGACAAGCTCGCTGACGCTCCAGCCACGGAGTCTAGGGAGAATGTGGTCGTGTAACCCATTTGATTGGCGACACAAGCCTCAGCTCCGTCTGTCTGTGTCCCGGTGCAGGGCAAAGGACCATCAAACTCACAGGGAGCTCCCAAGCGAGACTCGATTATGAAACGGCAGTCAGCACGCAGGGCCGCTCTCCGGGCTCCCTCGTCCGCTGCTGATCCTTCAATCTAGATGAGGCAAGATGCCGCTCCGTGTTCAAGAATAAGGCTGCACCGAGCATCCGTACGAACATCCGCCCTCCACAATACCTTACAAGTAGACCTAGCTGCTGGTGCGCATGCTCAATCTCGGCTTTTCTGGGGGCGCCCTCCAATTACACTCATTCAAATGTGGTGTGCGGATGCATCTGTGGTCTTCGATGACCAGGTCAAGGAACGGTAATGATTTCATTGACGACGATCCCCCGAGACCATCACCAAAGCCTTTCACCTTCCCAGCAACACCATGCTTGCTTTTTATCGATATCGTTGATGTCTAGCACAGTCACACTGCAGACGCCCGTCAAGCAATTCTCCCTGCGTCCCCCGCAGACCGAGACCTATCCGTACCAGAACAGTTATGGCGGCATGGCTTCATGTCGCGCCATCACTGCATCGTCGTGAGCTGACTTACTTGAGTCAGCCAGACTGTAGCAGTGCATATGGTTTGTGGCGGTCGAAATCCACATACCCCGTCGCCTGGGCAAGGAGCAAGCCAACCAATCCGACGTGGCAAGGTCGTCAATCTAGGTATGCGCTCGATTTCGCGCAGATTAGCGCTCACTTTGTCTTGGCCTCTCGGGATTAAGCTCGCTGCTGGAGCCACGCTGTCGTCTGTGCTCTGAGACACAACAGCCCGGGGTCTAGTTCTTCGTCTCTGATTCGCTCGACATTCTAGACGTGGTTGCTGTCTTCAAGCGGCTTCTGTCAAGTTCTCGAGACTAGCTGACTTTTAGTGGCTGTTTACATCTCCGATGGACGACGGAGACTTCAGCATCCATCCCGCGACCGTAGTCTACCTATGGGATTTTGCGAAGGAACGTTCCCTGATCTCAGTCCTGGTGGTCGCACTCGAACTCGAGAAGAAACGCCACGTCCTTGTTGGAAGGGGCTCTTCTCATCGTGGTCCCTAGCTAGAGATACCGGCACTGATCGATGTACACAACATAGGTACTAGGATCCAATCCCGCCTCTGGACGACTGCTTGTTGGGGATCCATCCAGGAAATGCGTGCGCTTGGCTCGGAACGCCGAGTTGAGGCATTTGGCTCCCAGACACTCTGTTGTCGTGTGTAT